ACCAAAGTCCTCTATCGTCTCGCTCTCTAATTAGGGTCAATTAGTGTGAGTTCGTTGTGGCAATAAGTTATTAATTAAAACCACTCATCAATGATATAACGAGACATTACCGTCACTAATGATCTATGGATACATGTATACGAAGAGTGTGTACAGACCTGATAGAGCGACGGCCACTTTATGGGAGCCTCCGAGTGGTGCCAAAGCATCTCTGGCTTTATTGCCGAATAATTTTTCGAGATAATTGGGGCCGTGATTTGCTAACAGTGTCTGCAAAAACTGTGCCGTTTCCTCCACAGGCGGTCTTTTAGCTGAAAAAACACAATCACACAAACATTTAAACGCCAAGAATTTACTAACAAATCTCGCAATTATTTATTCGCATCCCTTATGTATTCGCAATACTATGCCATGTATTAAATGAGAGACGAAAACAACTTATTTTAATGCATTACATACAACAGGAATATAACCAAACATTGTTATGGCTCGCAATTTATTATTCATTGATTTACTATAAACTAACTTAATTACAATGAAATGCATAACACTTGCATAAAATATACTCATTTTCCTGTAATCACTATATCCTTACACTTCAAATAATCCTAGTTTTGAGTTTACATTCAAAGTCTACTCATTAGACAATTTTGTTTCATTTCTAACATAACATGTTTTAAAAAAATTTTAACCAAAATTATTAGTATGTTGAACACAATTTAGCTAATGGGTAAAAGTACCATGGGCACTCATGGATGTTGTGTATTTCTAACAGATAAAGGCATTTGATAATAGGAGAGAACCACACAATCAATTTGCCGTCATTTGAATGCCATTCCTATGCAAACACGTATTGTTGGCTCAACTCTAAACATTAGGATGTAATTCAGTCTCTTAAGGGCTTTTTACCTTCATATGTATTATAATTTTTTCAATTATGCATTCAATCGACACATTTCTACATATACTTGAAATGCATTAAATTTATTAAAGTTTCCCTATAAATAAATAATTTAATATTGTTTTGTGCCATTTATTTAATTATAATTATTCTGTAAAATTATTTTCTATATAGAGATCGAGTCTTTAATAATCAAACATCTATTTATAACAATGAATAGCAATATCTATAGTGAATGGAAAACATTAATCTTCATATATTCGCAAAATAACAACAGTTTTGATCATTGATTTTAATATTTGAATTGATATTTTGCCATATCTTAGTGTTTGATAAAAATAAATTGTGTTTTTGTTAACACTTTGATATTTTGTATCGTAAATGAGTTTAGATTAACTTTTCTAAAAGAGTCTCTTCTAATATTAAAATTTTGTTTCTTTACAACAATATATGTAATATATATTAGGTTTAGAGATAAGAGAGAGAGAGAGAGAGAGAGCGAGAGAGAGAGAAAGAGAGAGAGAGAGAGAGAGAGAGAGAGAGAGAGAGAGAGAGAGAG